TATTAACTCTGACGCAGCACCTGCTATCAGAATACAGTGACTGGATGACCCTTAGCAGATGGCCATCTATCCCGTATGCATCCTTGACTTCATGATTCGATATTTATATCACAGTACGAATCCATGACGGATTATGTAGAGGTGATGAAAGCCTAATACCCAAACTATGAAAATATATTATTTCTTATTAACTGTTGATTCCCTTGAGCAATGAATTTGTCCCACGCTATTTCGGTGCAATCTGGCAAGAAAACGGCTATCACGTCGTTGACCTCTGCATAATGCGGACAACGTTATGTTTTGGTGTAATCGTGTCAATGATGCAAGACATACGGCCATACTGTCTGTTGCGTGCATTTTACGCCTTGACCATCCTGACAGTCGACTGAAATTCAGGATAAAATATTAACGTAAATTTAGTCAAACAGAATTTTAAATTTAGTTTAGTTACTTCTTGCATAAACGCAAGCATATCTGTACTTTGTGGACTGTGACATCGAACTGTGTTTAAAGGAGTCTCTCACAAAGGACTGAAGTAATAAGTTTGAGCAATAGCTTCTGAAATTTACAATAGACCTTACAGTCAGGTAATTCTTGATGTCCGTATTCGTGTAACATAGATGACCTCTTCTATCGACAGATTTCCAAATCGAATGAGATTTACACTTGCCCGTTTTATCATTGTCAAGCACATGTAATTAACTATAGATAGATTATGGGAAAAGATCTCAAAAGAGTTTCTAAGGAGGCATTTCTTAATCAGTAAGACGTAATTTTAAATGTATTCCTATCTTTTTTGCTAATCTTTAGAAAATGCTGTTTAGGAATATATGCGATATTTCGACCGATGAACATCATTCTTCAGCAGGGCGAACATTCTCTTAGAAATTGCATCAAATACGCTTAGGAAATGTACAACACAAGAGCTATGAACATGAATAAATAAGACTAAAAAAGCAAATTAGTAGCTGAATTTAAAAAATCTGCAGTGGAAAATCAAAAATCATAAAAACAGAAGCTGCATGCTTTAGACGTCGTGGACGTCTGTATTAGGGATTATATGACTGCAAGAGAGTGATTGAAGTTTGCAGATGTCGGGATGCCGCTGTTTCTTAGGGTTCACGAATGGCGTCACTTGTACTTATTGTGCGGTTTGGAGACTTTCTTGATCGCGGTTAGGCATAAGGTCTTCGTTGTGAAAATAGTATTTACAGCCTGAAGTCAAACATTACTTGTAGTCTCATATGTCCGCCATTGATACTGTGCTACAACGGCAACGGTTCATGCGATTACACAGAATTTATACGAACATCTTTTGAAAAATAGTCTTCCATCTGTATCATACAAATGTTCAAATACCACTGAGCTCTGGCCCGTTTAAATATTGCAGCGCAGCTATGGGCGAGATGGATGTGCCATACACCCTCAGCAAGGTTTAAATAGGCTATTAGCGCCACGTCCTTGTACCAAACAAATCGAAGCGGTTGCTGTTTCGTTATAATCATCTGAAGCCAATGGAGCTTAAACAGCGCAGTAACCCATGTTTATGGTGTCTGACCGTTATAGATCATACTTCAGATTGATATCAGGTACCATTCGCTTCTTTACCGACAAAGGTCATTGTCTTCTTTACCAGCAGATCCGCTCAACCAGGTATTGTCATCCGCTACCCCAATTAAACTGCTCAAATACCATGGAGACGCCGTCTGCTGAAATGCGCCATCTCTCATAGGCAGCTCACAAGGAGGATACAGAACCCGTGAAATCCATTTCGAAAGAGTTAAGCTCCTTACTGCTCAAAATCAACATTAAAACAAAATTCGTTGCTCCCCGTATAGTTCGTAATAGAGGAGTGCCAAAAAATCACAAGTTCTAGAGATGTGATGAAGGTTAAGATCTTATAAGTTTTTTACTTTTTCTGAATAACCCCATATATTTCCATCGCTGACAAAATATTTATTTTAGATGGACCGAGAGTTTTGGGGGAATGCCACTCTATGATATTCAGGACACCGTCGCTGTACAATTTTTCGGGCAACTACCCAGGAGGTATTGCTGATGCCGGAATGTGGGAAGCCAATGAACCGGCGGAAGAGGAACAGAAGGTGGTCAGTATCCAAGAGCGACCCAGTTCGAAGATCTCCGTGCAGGAATTTGAACATTTGGTAACACCTAACGGCAGATGCGATGATGCTCGTATCATGACGGAATGCACCAAGGAGCCAAGGGTCTACGGTAGTGTCTCAGAGATGAAACGCCAGCGACAGAAGCCGCCTGCGAAGCCGCATCGAACGGTGTCTTTAATCAAGGACGCAAAGTCCACCCCTGACCTTCACTACATGTTGGACGATTCGTTACCGCAGAACGAAATCCCTGACCCATCAACTGACAGCATCACTTGGCGGACGAATGCTTCCGGTTCCCTAAAAAGATTGCATTCGGTTTCGCGTCCATTGTTCAACGAAATCTCATCGGTCGGTGGTGATAGCCCTGATGGTAGTGGTCTTGGTGAATTTGATCGTTTTTCAACAATGTCTGAAACCGCCGTGTATTCGTCCTCTCAGTTGTGTTCGACCTCAAAAAGCTTCACAGCAGGTCCAGTATCCCTTCGGCCTGTTCCCCCTCCCCCTCCGCCTCCCCCATTACCGGTGGTCGGTGGTGCAACGATCTTCTGCCGTTCTAGTCAGACAAACAGCCAAAATGGCCACCAACCGGTGATCGGTTCGCTCGGTGCAGGTGGATCGCACGGACTGCCGGCACCACCGCCGCCAATCGACCCCAGGCTGTTGAAGGAGACGGCTAATTTTCCTACTTATACCGGCAGCGGCGGCCGTAGCATTCCAAACAGATATTCCCAAGAGGCTGATCGCACTCCGACCA